AAGAGCCTCCCAGGCGTCCTCATGGTGGTAAGGTGCCACCTACAGAACTTGTGCGCCATTGCTTCAAGGAGCCCTTTGGTGAGGGGTCGAGGAGGAACCCCAGTGACCTTACACCTACAGCTAGAGTGCTAGAGGCTATCATTAGGAGGACACTACTTCTCAGGTTGGGATACAGAGAGGGCTTGACTCGCCTCCAGCTCTGGCTCCTCAATGCCCTGATGCAGCAGACAATGTTCGATATTTGAGATCTTCTTCTGTCTGAGATGGAGGTCACGATAGTTGAGGGCTTCAAGGGTCGTAGGCAACTCCCATATGCACATTGGATCACATTCCTTATGCTCAAGGCTGTGCAAGTTAGGACACCAGAGATGGTTGCAGAGTACAGAGGTGCCACCATAGAGTTCCCAGCATATAACATGGCACAGAGGATCAGACACAACACTCCTCAGGCACCCAGTCAGCCTCGCCGTCGCCCAAATGTACTAGAGTCCGCAGCTCAGCAGGACGAGATTATTAGAGGCAGAGCAGCTACTGAGGAGGAGCAGCTTGAGGCTCAACAGGACAGGAGCGAGTCTAGTGACAGTTCGGATGACGACTACCTACCTATTCCTCAGATGCCTCTACGCAGACACGATGCAGAGGCCGGTAGTTCCAGCTTAGCTCCACCTACACCGCAGACAGACCCTGCTCTCATTGCTATTCTTGAGCGGATGCAGCAGGATCAGGCACGACAGGCTCAGGAGACCGCTGCTAACTTTGCACAGTTTTAGACTCGTCAGGACGAGTTCCAGCGCCAGCAGCAGGTCCTCCAGCAGCAGCAGCAGCAGATGCATCAGCAGCAGTTACTCATGCAGCAGCAGCTTATGGGATTCATGCAGCATGTAGTGACAGCTCTTAGGGCCCCACAGCCACAGCCTACGCCCCAGATTGCTCAGCCTGCCACCACTACGATGACTCCAGCAGTACAGCCCAGTGGGCTTCAGAGTCAGGGATAGCCTCCAGCTCAGTTTGCTTCTCCCCCAGTACAGGTGTCCTAGTGGTTATCCTCGCCAGTGGTAGCCCCGCAGTTCACACCACTTCAGACGGGCTTCACACCGGATCAGTTATCCTCACTATTTGTGCCTGACACGTCAGTCTCTAGGAGTCTTGGAGCATCTTTCAGCGAGTTGACAGGGATGCCTACACCGCCACATATGCATGCCCCAGGTCCTTCTACAGCAGCTCCTGTCGTCGTGACTACTCAGAGGCTCCCTTCTTCTGTCGTATCATTAGATCCTACGACAGATGTACCAGCAGCATCACAGGCAGCTCTTGCCCCAGCTCAGACCTAGACCGCTTCAGCGACACTTCCTGCTTCAGAGGGTCAGTCAGCACAGAGCTCAGGGTCAGATGATGATGCTGCCCAATTTTAGCTTGCTCCTCGTTCTTCAGCGCCCGACTCGTCCGCTGCAGCCCCGCTGACTAGCCTTTAGGTTTTGGTGTTTGACGCCAAAGGGGGAGAGGATTCGAGTATGTAGACTCAAGGGGAGCGACATTTAGGGGGAGCTAGTTAGCTATTAGTCCTTTATATACATTTGGAGTTTTATTTGTGTGATACACTATTACTATTATGCATTCGTGTGTTTACTTTCATGCATACTATTTTATCTATGTGATAGTGATATCTACGTGATTGTGATATATGACATGTGTGCTCTCTACTTTGAATTCTTTAATATGTCATATCACTTGAGCTATGCTCATTTGCCTTTGCTTTCGCATAAGGCTGGACGAAAAACTCGAAGCTCGCTAGCTCGCTCGACTCGTGGCTGGCTCGACTCGGCTCGGCTCGGCTCGTTATGATAACGAGCCGAGCCGAGCCAAGATTTTAGCTCGTTAGCTATAACAAGCCAACTCGAGCCAGCTCGTGAGCTAAACGAGCCAACCTTCTAGGAAAAAAAGTATCAAAACTTATATTAGTTTTTGTATTACTTCATATCTTATACTTTATAATTGACTGGTAACTGGTCTAGACCCTATAAATTGACTGGTAACTGGTCTAAATGTATTTCTTTTATATTATTATTATTCTTAAACTTTAGATAAATGCAAATATTATATTTTGTGTATTTTTTATACCTGGCTCGCGAGCTTAACGAGCCAGCTCGAGCTTTTAACGAGCCGAGCCGAGCTGGCTTTCTGGCTCGTTAGGATAACGAGCCGAGCCGAGCTAGCTCGTTATCTTAACGAGCCAGAACGAGCCGAGCTGTAACGAGCCGAGCCAGCTCGTTATCCAGCCTTACTTTCGCATTTTTACTCCGATGCAAATGAGTCTTTCTTATTGTACTCATGCTTATTTCATATCATTTGAGTACATCATGATGGCTTGGGTTATATAAGCTTGACTAACTCTTTTGTCCTTATTGCTAAAAGCTTATATGATCCAAGCATGTTAAAAACCTAAACTCTTTCACATACTTGAGGTTATATTGTCATCAATCACCAAAAAGGGAGAGATTGAAAGCATCTAGACCCCTAATTGGGTTTCGGTGATTAATGACAATAAAAGATTACTGTGACTAACGTGTGTTTTGCAGAGGCAATTAAGTTAGGTCATGGTAATGGAGATCGATTGGCCAATCATGGATGTCATGCCCCTACGATGGAAATCGTTTCGGTTTTCAAAGGATGGACGACAAGGTTAAGGATGACTAGTTCTAAGTGTCGTTTGGAGTTGAAGAGACACTTAGAGTAGTTTAGGACTTTGTTTTTCCTTTGGCCGTACTATTAAGGGGGGTATGGACGGGTAGCTTAACCTAGGTGAGTCTAGTGAGTTAGGTGTGGTGCACACTTATTAAAACTAGCACTAGGTAGCTCCTAAATATGCCTAAGATCCTTTGGAGCAAACTTCATTCACAAATGATCGAGAGTTAGAAGTGAATGGAGGGTCAAAGACTGACCGGACGCTGGCTCCAGTGCGACCGGACGCTGGCCGCAGGGTCCGGTCAGTTCATTTGACTGAGGTGAACTAGTCCGGTTTGACCGGACGCTGGAGAGGTCAAATGACCGGACGCTGAGGGCCAGCGTCCGGTCGACTCTAGTAAGGTTCTAGAGAAGAGAATCTGCGACCGGACGCGTCCGGTCAGTGCTGACCGGACCCTGGGGGTTCAGCGTCCGGTCGAGTACAATAAGCATCCAGTGAGGGAAAAATAGGACCGGACGCGTCCGGTCAGTGGTGACCGGACCCTACCAACGTCCGGTCAACTCTTAATCACTGGTGTGCGGGTTGAACTGACCGGAGCGTCCGGTCACCCCGCAGAGGCACATAACGGTTCGTTTTTCATGCTGTCTTATAAATAGAAGCTCCACTCGTGTGTGGAGTCACTTTTGCTCATTTCAACAACTGAAACACACCTTAGAGAGTGCCAAGAAGAGCAAGGTCCTAGTGAGGTGATTGAGATTTGAGAATCCAAAGAGAGCCCTCATTAGTGAAGATCAAGAGTAGCAAAGTGTGCATCCACCCTTCTCCCTAGGCTTGTTGTGGTCAAGTGAGAGTTCGTGCTTGTTACTCTTGGTGATCGCCATCACCTAGACGGCTTGGTGGTGATTGGGAGCTTGGTGATCATCCGGAGAGCTTGTGGATAACCCAACTCAAGTTGTGAGCGGTTGTGGGTGATTCACCGTGATGGAGTGTCAAAGAATCAACCCGTAGAGAGCACTTGATTCCTTGCGTGGGTGCTCCAACGAGGACTAGTGGGGAGTGGTGACTCTCCAATACCTCGGCAAAACATCGCCGTGTTTCCTCTCCTCTCTTTACTTTGAGCATTTACTTTGAGCATTTCAATTCTTGTCATTTACATTCCTAGAATTGTCATGCTAGAGTAGAATTGGAACTATGTTGCTAAACTTTTGTGCGTTAGATCAATAGAAACACTTCTCTAGGCACAAGGGGTTAATTGGGCTAACCATAGGACTTGTTTATTGCGAAGAAATTTAGAATTAGCCAAATTCACCCCCCTTTTGGACATCTTGATCCTTTCAGCGTTAGACAGAAAGTGGAGAGTACACACCAAAAAGCGCTTATGAAATTCAGTTCCAGGGGACCTTTTCCAAGCTCAGAATTATGCCAATTTAGAAGGCCAAGATGGAACCGAAATGCAGATTCTTCGCATGGACACTAATGCACAAAAAAATTCTGACCGCAAACTACTTGATGAAGCGAGGATGGACGGATGACCCCATATGTAAACTATGTGCAAATGATCAAGAGACATCCACGCACCTGTGTAAAGATTGACCTTTCACTAAGGAAGTGTGGGAGTTGATCAAGATATGGTTCAGTTTAACTGACCTTAGCTCCATAAACACAACTGGGTCGCTTCATAATTACTGACGAAGATGTAGGAGAAAAGTTGACAAAAATCAAAGACGGCGCTTCGACGGGATCATAATCTATTTTTGGTGGAATATCTGGAAAGAGAGGAATAGGCGAACTTTCCAACAAAAAAGTTTGAGCCCAAGACAAGTCGCAAGTTTGTGCAAAGATGATATAAGTCAGTTTTCTTTGGCGACAGCTCCAATTCATAATACGGCGAACTAGCAGTAGACCTCTTCTCCAGTTTGGGCCAGGGTTCTTGTTTTCGGAGTGTCCCTAGTCTCAGTTTTTTTACCCGTTTCCTTTCGTGCAGTTGTTTTTTCTGCTGTTTTGCTGGTTCCGTTTTAATTAGCAGGGGACGTTGGGTGTAAATAGGGAGTTATATTTGCTCTCTTTTTTTTTTATCGTCTAATAAAATCCGCGGCAAAGCTTTTGCCGCCCTTTCAAAAAAAAAAACAATACCTTGCGAACGAATGTAACGCATTGGATGTCTGAATCCATTTGTTTCAGTTGTAGCTATAGATAACGATTTATTATTTTGCCAATGCAATACACATGCGATCAAACAAGTTCCACGCACTACTCAGATCATAGTAAAAACGGTAAAAAGTTTCAAATGCAACCATGCCATGAAAGTGGGCATGCCTCAAGCTTTCACCAGGTTTTCTCCAAATTCCGCACCAGTAGCCTCCTTGTCAGATGGTTTGCCTGAATCTAAGGCCTCGGGAACATTTGCACTCTTGAGGACTTCCAGGATGCATGAGCTCCATTCAGAAAGCTGTTTCACAGACACATCGTCTGCGGAAGAACATATCAGATAATCAGTGAGAAAGCACTATGCATAAACACTGGTGAACAGCTTTTATATGCTGATTCCATGGAGACAAATCGAACAGAAAGATTTGGGAAGAGTGCGAACCAAGCCTAGGGACAGTGTGGCCCTGAGGATGCCTTATGATGAGAGGCTCATCAAAGGCAGAAGCCAACTCCTCGGAAGGTACCTTGAGCCAGTCCTTTTCTCCAATAAAGTGCACTGATTTCACCTTGATCGGGTCTTTGTAAGCGACATCACAGATGCTTGGGTCCCTAAACTTGCTCCCAGATATTGAGACCATGAACTTAATCGGTGGATGATCACTCAGCACCTTGCCCTAAATTTGTCAGCATAGTTACAACAATTAACTAAAATGGTTAAACTTACAATTTTGATATTCTATCAGAAGAGGGCTGGTGTTTCTATAGTATTCAAAAGAGTAAAATGCACGTCGGGTCTTGAAACTTTTGGGGCGTTCCCATCTGGGGTCCTCGAACTAAAAAAGCGATCACCTAGTCCCTAATCTACTGCCGTCGCACACCAACCGTCCAAAACCCGTCACGTCAACACCAGCATCTGATGTGGCCATGCCACGGTGGCACTTGGATGCTGTGGCCACGCCACAGAGGCAGGTGGTGGGCCTACAGCGGGGCGTCTCGTTCTCCTCCTCCTGGCGTTCGTGTTCCTCGCCACGGCGGCCCTCCACATCGCAACCAGGCCCCGGGCGTCGTCCATCTCCGTGGCTCCCGAACCAGCACCACGGCCGCGACGCCGGCCTCGCGCTCCCGGCGGCGCTGGCGCTGTCGCCAGACATAATGCCCAGGCCGGGCCATCCCCGGCTTCGTCCTCGGGTGCAGCCTCATGTTCGTGCACCAGCTGCCGTCGGGCCCCGCGGGCTTCGGCCGCGGCAAGCCGTCCGTGCCCGCGTAGCTCCGCCTCCCCAAGTTGTCCTACTCCGGCACCACGTTCACGTACCTCGACCCAACGTTGTTCCCGCCCGTGGCGGACGCGGTGGTGGCGGCGGTGCCGGAGCTGTCGCTCCACTTCAAGTGCGGCGCGGTGATGTATCTCCCGCTCGAGAACTACTTCATGATCGCAGGGCGCGCCTCCGTCCCCGGCGCCAGATCACCACGGAGCTGTAGAGAGATTAGCCGCCGCCAACGCCGTCGGCCCACGTCCACTCCCCATTCAACAGGTCATCGTTGTTGTCGTTCTTTCCCGCCGACGCCACCACGTCTACCTCGGCCGCGACGGAGACCCCGCCAGCCCAAAGCGTCCTAGCGGACAGCGCGCATCCGAAGGCCGGCGAGCAACGGAGCGAGGCGGCGCAGAGCAGCAGCAGAAACAGTAGTGGCAATGGTGCTCCGTCGATCTTGAACGCTGAGTTTGTCGCCGGCATGGAAGCGGTTGGCAATAGGACGTCGAAGTTCTCGGTCCCAAACAGCTCGCTCATCGTGGAGACAGCCACCGACGTATGGCGCACGTGCACGTGCGGATCGCGGCCGTGCTCGTGTACAGGAAGAAGTCGCTCGAGTTGAGCAGCAGGAAGAAGGCGCCGACCATGGGCGCCATAAGTGACGCGATGCCATGGATCCCGTCCTTGAGATGGAGTAGACAGTCCTGCACATGCAAATAAGGAACGAAACAAATACAGTAGTTGGCGGCGGCCACGTCCTCCTCCTCGCCGGCTTCTCATGCGGTTTCTCCGTGACGCCGTCTATCTCCTTGCTCTGGGCGGCGACCACGTCTCCCTCCTCGGCGGCGAGGGCATTGATGATATCGTACATGACGACGACGTGACTGTGGTTCACGGAGAGCCCGCGAAGGAGCACCGTGACCGCGGCAGGTGCGTCGGCGATGGTCGTCCCGTGCCTAGACCGCGACAAATGCGCTGCAGGCCCACCACCTGCCACTGTGGCACGGCCATAGCATCCAGGTGCTACTGTGGCATGGCCACGTCAAATGCTGGCGCTAGCGTGACGGGCTTTGGATTGTTGGTGTGCGAAGGCAATTGATTAAGGACCCAGATGGTCGCTTTTTTGGTTGGAGGACCCAGATGGGAATGTGCCAAAAGTTTGAGGACGCAGGGTGCATTTTACTCTATTCAAAACTCGCAACTTCCAAGTTACTGTTACCTTATAAGAATTTCTTTTTTCTTTTGCAAGTTATCCTGTTTAAAAGTAAGGGCTTTATTACATGGTAAAAGGTGTTCTGTTTGTTGCTACTTTATGCTATCTGTATAATTTAGTTCACAAGTATTACAGAGTTTAGGAGTAAAAATTACCTGTGCTTGGTAGCCTATCAAAAGGGCCGAAAGTGTTGCGCCCTGGAAAGAGGAATGGATACATAAGCTCCAAGACTCCACTTTATGCTCAACACAGGAAAAAGCACAGGTTGAAAGACTGACAGTGCCCGATCATTCAGTAAGGCAAATCAGATTAAAAAATAAAGGTCAAGATCCAATCCGTTTCTACTGCCTTTCCTATGCAAGTGCTTGGGCCTTATAGATGTTCTAAGTTATAATCCTATCAGAAGTGCACCTTGAACAGAGAAATTAAGTGATCAATTAAACTTTACAGCAGCTCAAAAGGGGTAGGTCATAACATTTCATCATTTCATATGTAAGCTTGGACCACAATTCTAGTTTGCATGCAGATATTATCATACAATAAGGAAACTCAGGAATAAACTCAAAGTCCAAAAAAGATAGGACATTCAACTCTCAGGTGCTCAGTAAAAGTAACTTCTCGTTTCCATTTTACCTGTGAGAATCCGAGCAGGCCATCAAAAGGCCCATTTTTCACCATGTAATCACATAGATATGAAATGCACTCGTCCAGATTTGTGTATTCAGTGAATTCCTGTGTGGAAAAACATGCAAGCACTGAAGTGTTTCGGCACACAGGAACAAAATAAAGGAGTGGTCATATCTGGCAACTGGCATGAATAGCTAAGGCATAGATGGTGATCAAACTGTAGCTGAAATATAACTTGCCATGAGAAGAGCTGATTTCAGTTCGGTTCCAACTAAAGCACTAACCTTATTGAACTGGAACCACTCGAAGTACGGCGGCGGAAATATGCCCTCTATCTCTGACTTTCCACCAGCTGGGAATATGCCATCAGGGAATACCTGAAAAACAGAAAAGAAAAATGTTCAAGAACAAAACAAAGAAGGAAACCAATTAGATCAGATCATTGAATCCAGCACAGAACCATCTCAAACTGCTGAAATATGGAAGGGTGCCATTTGCTGATCTGCTTCTTCAGAAAACTCCCGCTTGTACGGAAGCCATGCAGGCACAGCACCTTGGTTCTCTTGTCCTGCTCCATGAGCTCAACTCTCCCAAGCACAGAGTAAGTTTTGACAAACACAAGAAACTTGAGACCTTAAGAAGACCTAGAGGGCATGTGAAGAAACTTGAGACCTTAAGAAGGCTTGGACGTGTGGTAGTTGGTACCTACCACTCCAAGGCTGCATGTCGCTTTCACCCAACAACAAATAGTTTTTTTTTAGAAAGGCCCAACAACAAATAGTTGCAACCTAACCAGCAACAAAAAGGACGAGACTGCATTCACTTAGCACAAAGAGCATCTTGAATAGTCCACATCATGCATCTTAAACCAACAATACGATTCGGCAGTTTGGAATAAATTTACATCTGCCACGGTAACTACAGATCATCGCATTAAAAACAACGGGCCATCCATTGATACTAACAGAGCAGAAGTTGATGTGTGTGGGTGGGGGGGGAGGGGGAATGGTTTCCACTGCAATCAAGACACAGCAGGGAGGGCAACCATTACAGGTTCACATGAAACAACGGTTCTGAAAACACACTGGAGGGAAAAACCTTTCAGCACTTCTCCGCCTTCAGATTAAAATTAAAGCCATCATTTTTTTCCAAGTCACCCAGGGGGTGGGGGGGGGTGGCGGAGGAGAGAGACGATAGTCGCCTCCTGGATAATTTTCCATTGATGCTGACAAAGCCGGAAATGGAGGACGCCAAGTGCCAGTTACATGCTTGGTCATGAACCCAGAGGTACCAAGTAAGAAGGTGAGAAAAGACCAACACAAAGAAAACAAAAACACCAACATCTTGTTGTTCACCACCAAAACACCACAACCTAGTGCCTGTACTTCAGCGACCTCCATTCCAAAAGCTGACTGTTAAGCTTCGAGTCAAGTCTGACAGACGACAGTCATGCTACACAGCCCATGCGACCACGCCCAACAAGTAGGACTGGGGCAAAGGCTTAACTGGATGTCTGGAGCCATTTGTTTCAGCTGTAGGCTACAACTACAAGATAACGATTTATTGTTTTGCCAATGCAATACACATGCGATCAAACAAGTTCCACGCACTACTAAAGCTTTCACCAGGTTTTCTGTGAATTTCACACCAGTAGCCTCCTTATTAGATGGTTTTCCTGAATGCCTCATGACATCTGCACTCTTAAGGTCTTCTAGGACGCATGATGAGCTCCATTCAGAAAGATGTTTCACAGATACGTCATCTGCGAAAGAATATATCAGATAATCAGCGAGAAAGCACTATGCATAAACACAGTCGACAGAAAAGAAGCAGCTTATGCTGATTCCATGTAGATAAATCGAACAGAAGATTTGGGAAGAGTGCGAACCAAGCCTAGGGACAGTGTGGCCCTGAGGATGCCTTATGATGAGAGGCTCATCAAAGACAGAAGCCAGCTCCTCGGAATGTACCTTGAGCCAGTCCTTTTCTCCAATAAAATGCACTGATTTCACCTTGATCGGGTCTTTGTAGACGACATCACAGATGCTTGGGTCCCTGAACTTGCACCCAGATATTGAGACCATGAACTTAATTGGCGGATGATCCCTCAGCACCTTGCCCTAAATTGCTCAGCTTAGTTATAACAGTTAACTAAAATGGTCAAATTTGCAATTTCGATATTCTGTCAGAAGAGGGCTGGCATTTCTGTAGTATTCAAAACTTGCAACTACCAAGTTATTGTTACCTTATAAGAATTTCTTTTACTTTTGCAAGTTATCCTATTTAAAAATAAGAGCTTTATTACATGGTAAAGTTTAGAAATTCAGTGTTTTATGTTTCATGCTACTTTGTGCTCTCTCTATAATTTAGTTCACAAGTATTACAGAATTTAGGAACTAGGAGTAAAAATTATATGTGCTTGGTATCCTATCGAAAGGGCCGAAAGTATTGCGCCCTGGTAAAAGGAATAGATACATAAGCTGTAGACTTCACTTTATGCTCAACATAAGAAAAAACACAGGTTGAGACTGACAGCGCCCGCATCATTCAGTAAAACAGATCTGATTAATAATTAAAGGTCACAATCCAACCTGTTTCTACTGTTTTTGCCTATGCAAGTGCTTGGGCCTCATAGATGTCTTGTTGCATATAAGTAATAAATCCTATCAGAAGTGCACCTTGGACAAAAATTAAGATATTAATTAAACTTCACAGCAGCTCAAAAGGTGTAGTTCACTCCATTTCATCATTTCATATGTAAGCTTGGACCACAATTCTAGTTTGCATGTACACTAGAGAATCTCAGGAATACATTCCAATTCCAAAAAGATAGGACATTCAACTCTCAGGTGATCGGTAAAAGTAACTTCTGGTTTCCATTTTTACCTGGGAGAATCCGAGCAGGCCATCAAAAGGTCTATTTTTCACCATGTAATCACATAGATATGAAATGCACTCGTCCAGATTTGTGTATTCAGTGAATTCCTGTGTGGAAAAACATGCAAGCAATGAAGTGTTTTGGCACACAGGAACAGAAATAAAGGAGTGGTCATCTCTGGCATGAATAGCTAAGACGTAGATGGTGATCAAACTGTCGCTAAAATATAACTCTGGTATCAGAATGGCATGAGACGAACTGATTTCAGTTTGGTTCCATGTAAAGCACTAACATTATTGAACTGGAACCACTCAAAGTACGGCAGCGGAAATATTCCCTCTATCAATGACTTTCCACCAGCTGGGAAGAAGCCATCAGGGAAGACCTGAAAAAAAAACAGTAAAGAAAAATGCTCAAGAAAAAGAAGGAAGCAAACCAAATAGACCAGATCACTGAATCCAGCGCAGAACCATCTCAAACTGCTGAAATATGGAAGGGTGCCATTTGCTGATCTGCTTCTTCAAAAAACTCCCGCTTGTACAGAAGCCATGCAAGCACAGCACCTTGGCTCTCTTGTTCTGCTCCATGAGCTCAACTCTCCCAAGCACAGCGTACGTTTCGACAAAAACAAGAAACTTGAGAACTTAAGAAGACCTGGAGGACATGTGGTACTGGTAGCTGGTACCTACCACCTACCAGGCTACCACTCCAAGGATCCATGTCAGCTTTCACCCAATAACAGAAAAGGCCAAGACTGCATTTCACTTAGCACAAGAAGCATCTTAAACAGTCCACATCATGCATTAAACCAACGATACAAACAGCAGTTTGGAATAAATTTGCACTAAGCACAAGGAGCATCTGCCTCAGTAACTAAAGATCATTGCATTAAAAACAAGGGGCCATCCATTGATACTAACAGAGTGAAGCAGAAGTTGATGTGTGTGTGAGTGGGGTGTGGGGGTGGAACTGTGGGGAGGTTGAATATAACTACATATGGTTTCAACTGCAATCAAGACACAGCAGGGAGCACAATCATTACAGGTTCACATGAAACAACAGTTCTGAAAACACACTGGAGGGAAGAACAAAGCAGGAACTGCATTGCCTTTCAGCAACTACAACTAGCAGAATGTTTCACTGGAAGTCGATGAAATAAGAGTTGCATCTTGACTAATATAGTAATATGCAATGCACAATCTTTTCTGCCTTCAGATTATGGTTCTGTGGCTCACTTGGCCATCATGACCTTGACAAACTCCTCGTAGTTGATCTGGCCATCACCATCGACATCAGCCTCACGGATCATCTCATCCACCTCCTCATCAGTTAGCTTCTCACCAAGATTTGTCATGACATGGCGGAGCTCGGCAGCAGAGATGAAGCCGTTCTGGTCCTTATCAAACACACGGAAGGCCTCCTTGAGCTCTTCCTCAGAGTCGGTGTCCTTCATCTTGCGAGCCATAAGGTTGAGAAACTCTGGAAAGTCAATGGTGCCATTGCCATCAGCATCGACCTCGTTGATCATGTCCTGGAGCTCAGCCTCTGTAGGGTTTTGCCCCAGTGAACGCATGACAGTTCCCAGCTCCTTGGTCGTGATGCAACCTGCACAAGATACGCACAACCATTTCTGTAATTATAACTAGGTAAATAGTTATTGAAGAGAGAAATAGTTCGGCAAATTAGGGGGGAATCAAGATGTCAAAAGGGGCAATATTAGTCAAAAAAGTTTGAGTGCTATGTGGAAAGCAGGGCAGTTTCTAAGTGGTAAATCATCAGCTTTTGACCCAACATGAGTTGCGACAGGAATTGAGCCAATCAGGGTGCTAAGCATTATCGTTTTCCTAACATAAGTCCGGTCCAAGATTTCCTTTTTTGGGTCAACTACTGCACAGTATGGACTATGGAACAAGGTATTGACACACGCACATAGAAAAAAACAGGTTCGAAGTTGAGCTGGATCACATAATTACTAGGAAAATTACTTGCACAAACTGAACACAATTTTTTAACCCACTCCAAACTTCGGTCAACCTGGAGCACGAAAAGCCTAATAAATTGAAAAAGGTTCGGTAGCAATCAGCCTCCTGCAACCTCTTCATACTACACAGCCCACGCGGCCATGCCCAAAGACTGGGTCAAAGGATAAACTGCTCCCAGAAAAAAAAAAATCACCTGGCCATCTCGCAGGATTCACATACAAACAGAGAACGACATGATTGTCAGTGACGAAATGGTCAAAGCAGCAGATAAGCCTTAGGTCCACATCGCCGATTCCGCCACTAGCAGGGAGAAATGCACAAGACAGCGACGCGATCGAGCCCCGCCGCGGACTCAGTCCAGATCCGGGATGGATCGGATCTACCCCGTCTAAACAATGCCACTACTCAGGCAGCCGCGCATGTCGAACATCTCCGGGAGATCAGATCCGAAGGAACACGGAGAGATAAGAGATGGGATGAGGAGAGGGAACCTTACCATCCCCGTCCTTGTCGAAGAGGCTGAAGGCCTCCTTGAACTCGGCGATCTGGTCGTCGGTGAGCTGGTCCGCCATGGGCGCAGTGGTGGGGAGGGATCAGATCGATCGGAGCGGGAAGCGGGGAGTGGATCGGGGACGGGGGAGGAAGAAGGGCTTGGAGCGTTCAGTGGCGTGGCGTCCGCTGGAATTTTCCTTCCCCGATTTATACGCGCTTCCACTAGACGTGGCCGTCACATTCGCCAACATCCAAATATTTTTTCCCCAAACTACCCCTGGGCTATTCTTTTTCCCTTCTCAACTCAAATCAAACCTACACAAAATCCAATGTCCTTTTTTACTATGGCATACAAGGAGTGCTCCGATGAAATTCAAACAGAACAATCCATATATACACGTAGAAAAAGTCTATGGCAAACGACTTGATATTTTATTATGAAAACATCTTTCTAGTAGGAGTATATAATAATTAATGCCACAAGAATGATATTGCTATATCATTATAAAAGTAGCATATAACTCTTTTTACTTAAAATAATATATATTTATAAATATTGTAAATTCAAAATATTGTTATGTTGATTGTGTTCATGTTTTAATGACCCAAGTTTGAGCATTCAGAGACTCTTTAGGTAAGGTCCTCTTTGGAGCGTAAAATTGAAAAAAAAAATGCACGGATAGAACTGTATAATATGTAAAGAGAGGAATGAAAATCATGAAAATTTGGCAGAAATGGATGTATGGATGAACTGCATAAAAGACATAGGAATCAAGAAACACTGAAGTTTGAGTAGATGTGTCTTTTTTATGTGGTTTTCCTACGGAAACAAATCCAAAGGAAAGATTTTTGTCTTTCCTACACAAGTGTGAACCAAGGATGCTACAATAACTCAATCCATAGAGATTTGAATCCAAACTTTTTCTTTGTTTCCCCTAAAATTCAACGGGGCAAGCACATCTCTTTTTCTACAACCTTTAAGTGTCAACAAAAATTCTTGGACGCTAAACATCAAGTTCAAATAAAAAAATCTCTCTCTCTGCTTTTGCAAAAGTTTAGTACAACAATGATAGCATATATTGTTTTATACCTAGTACTTCTACCCCAAACCACTAATGCAATGTCATTGAAAAAAAAGAAATACTCCATGTGTCTTTAAGAAGATGGTAAGTACTCCCTTCGTCCATAAAAAGATGTGATTTTTATTTTTCATGAGTCAAACGTTTTAAAGCTTAACTAAAATTATTTAGAAAGTACTAACATTTATTATACAAGATAGGTAACATTAAATTAATTATGAATTATATTTTCATAGTAATTCTAGTTCGAGACTAAATGTTAATAGTATAATTTGGTCAAAATTAAGTTAGTTTGACATGCACAAAGTTGCATTCTTTTTGTGGACGGAAGAAATAAGTGTTTTTTTTCACAACATTCAAGTGCTAGTTAGTTTGCATGGGCACCATCACAGATGTTAAGATATACGGAGTACATCATTTCTCATGAGTAGGGATATAAGCGTGCTAGTCCGCCAACTCTCTTTATAGATTTATTATACTTCACCTGCGATGGTTGCTTGAACACGAATCATCATTGAAATTTGGGACTTTTATTAAACAATAATTGAATTTTAGAATAGAGGCAACTATTATCACGAAGATGTAAGAAACTTGGTCGTTTTGGTAACTTGGGAACATCTGCTTGAACACGAATCACCAATGAAAATTAGGATTTTTAAACAATAAATGATTAAATTCCACAGTAGAAGCTAGTATTATCAAGGAGATATAAGAAATTTGGTCATTTTGGTAAATTTGGAACAACTCCGTTAAGGTGAGGTCAGCGACTTTTGCCGGACGCTGCGAACACGTGGGGCCCTAAAGCTAAGGAATCTGGATTATGGAGGGTAGTTGGCTTTTTTCAAACGAGGGAAATGACGTATATAGCCTCCACGCGGTTGCGACGCGGAGCGCCAAAATTCCAATCAGTTCTCAAAGGAACCCTTCGATTTGTAGCTATTCGGATGTTGGCACGTCTAGTGCTCGTGGGCTTTCGATATTCAATCAATTTCTGAGATCCGGCCCAACTGGCCCTGGAATTTTCTTGAGCGCTAGCAGTAGTCGATCACTCAATAATAAGCTTAGAAAATGCCAGACCACAGCAGTAAAATATCCACCATTTGCACATGTCAATAAGCAGGCCTGAGACTGACATCCTACTGTCCCGGCACTAAGCCGTCAAAATTATCATTATCCCAAAGAAAGTTTGAAGAATCAGAATTGCTAAGCTAATAGCTAAAAAAAAGATTCACATGGATTTGCACCCACCTCTTTAGTTCATCAGATGAACGAATTATGCAGGAGAGACTTCTAAACCTGAATGAATTGCCAAGTTCATCAACGCTAGCTATAGTTGCCGGCCGGCTCAGAGATGAGCTTGTCGGCAGCACAGCCCGCGGTCAGGTTACCGCTCGATGGCCTTGTACAGGACGCAGGTCACGTACTTGGAGCGGAACCTGTGGGTGTAGCCGAGGGCCACCAGCGGCTGTGCGCCCCAGCCCTTCTCGATGTAGAGATGGTCGAGGACGACGTGCCTCGGCCTCGCGCAGCCTTCTTCCGAGCTCCGAGAATTCAGCACGCCGAGGTAGAGCTGGGCCGGCAGCTGAGGAGGCTCCTTGGCGAACTCCTTTTCGCCGGGAACATGGAAACCGTAGCTGGAGTCCGGGGAGGGAGGAGCCATGAGCTCAGATACACTTTCCACACTTTCAGGAATGAAGTCCTGCATGATGCAAACATGAGTAAGATTTTTTTTTTTTTTGAAGAATCAAACAAGAGTAAGATTACAACAGCCAGCCGAGTCTACACAAAGGAAGGTACATGCAGTGAGCAGTCGACTTGGTAAAATTGAAATCATGCTTTACAGATGATCTTTCTACAGTTATATCTTTTTGGTTCTATCCGTGTAACAATCTAAAAGTCTAAATTGTGATTTCGTTTAATTTGGGTTTCTCTCCAGCGAAACTCCAGTGAGCAATTAGTTTAATGTTCAGTTAATTGGTCTGTAATAATCAACAAAGGATGACTTAGAATATAACATTCAGACAAACGGACTTGACCGGCTATTATATCATGTGTAAATGGTACATTTCCATATGCATTCTGCCTGATTCTTGTGGTTAAGTATATGTTTAACTTATATAAACACAGAAACACTAATAGCAGCATGTTGAGTTCAGTAAAGCTCAAATTCAAACACATAGTAAGTGGAGTCAGATATTCAGTGTGAAAGGGAGAATACTTACATGGACATCTACTAGGTTCACAATCTGACCCATATTGTCGGTTTCGCAGGGAAGATCGGGTATAAATCTTCTTTCTCCATCTACAATGAATCTATAACGGTGAACTCCAGATGAAAGCATCAGCAGAATGGTGTGATCTTTTCCGGATTTCTCAACAGGTTTCCTGTCATGTATGTATATGTTAACAGTCAGAATAAACTCTCTTCTATTGATAAGTTTCAGAGGCATAGGATAAAATGGAAGACATATATATTTCTGTCTGACTGTACTTTGACGTCCACTTGTCCCATGATCCTTCTACATAGATATTTCTCCCCCCAAGAGTCCACGTAAGCAACGTGGGAATTTTCTTTTGAGGTGGGCCATCAGAATCCTCGTGTTGTTGATTCATCAATATCTGGTTGAACATTGGAGGAGGTACTTCTGCAGCTCTTTGCAACGGAGTTACAGGACTCTGAAATATATCAAATACTCCAATTAATTTTACCAGAGAAAAAAAATGATATATAGATCAGAGAATCCTGCATGTTATGAGATAGTAGAATGCTACAAATGAATCATAGAAGTATAATAAAATTTGCTAATGAATGGGCAAAGCTGCATTGTTCCACCAAAATCCGAATAACACAAAAATCAATGTCCACGTGTATACATACACTCTGCAGCATTGTTAACATCAATAAAAACTAGATTTTAGCCAATCAAGAGGTTACAATACACTTGTAAAAAGTATCATATCAGTAGCCTTAATTTTCATAACAACACACTAATAATAGGAGGACGTACACCATCTCATACATATTGTTGTCCCTATGAAAAGTCTTTTTCCCCCCTGCCAAATCTTTGATCCCTTGGTAAGAAAACACTAAAAGGGCCTACATTCTTGGATACAGCCATTGTCTACTATGAAAATCTAAAAACATAATCACCTGGTCGCTTGAGCTATGGAACAGTGTTTTCCTCCCACAATATTTCAACATAAGCATCAGCATAAGCCAAATTTCAACATAAGCGAACAGGGTGATTAATAACTACGTTAAATAAAACTAAGGGAGTGATGACGATACATTCTAGTTAGTTAATGCCTTGGCGCATCATCATGCATGTTCTGAGCTCGTCAAAACACAAACAATCCTCGCACCATGAACTAGCGCAGTCATCAGCCAAATTAAACGAGCTCGCAACAAAACCAAAAACATTCCAGGCCAAACGCCCGGACCAGAACGGACACAAATCCCAAGCGATCAGCTACGTACACGTGCGTCGTGGCGATGAGGAACGCCGGCCGGCCGAGCCAAATAATTCGAATTCGAGGAAGCGAGGCGTAATCATAGCATTTCATATGTGATGAATCATGAGAAAGCCGGCGATCTGACCTGGGGCACGAACATCCGCGGCGAATGCGGCCTCGGCGGGCTCGTCGGCGGGGACGACGACGAGCCGCCGCCCCGGACGTAGCCCGCGGAGGAGGAGGAGGCGCGGCGCACGTGGTTGCCGTCGTCCATGTCGGCGTCCGCGAGGTCTTCCGCCCGGCCGCTCGCGTTGCCCATCTCTGGCCTGGCCTGGGGATCCCCGCGGAGGCACGCCTGCCTGCCGCGGGATGCGTGCGTGCTTCTCTTGCGCCGTGCCGTGCGTGTGCGTGCATCTGCGGGACCCACGCTCCGACGCATGCATCACGCGACTCCGCCGGGAGTGCCGACCGCGTGCACGCCAAAGTTCGTGGGCTCACTTTTTATTTCTTCTCAGCCCATAAAACCTTTCGGTCCACGTAGGAAGGAGCGGCTGAAAGGCTCGGCCCATCGTCTGACAAAGCCCGGGCCCGGCTCCTTCTTCAATCTTCAGGGAGACGCAGCAGCAGAGCACGAGGCGAGAGGTAGAGCATCCAGCTCCCAACAAAGGAATCTCTCCCTCCCCTTCCTCGGCAGGGCAGGGCAGCCATGCTTGGTCTTCGCGCCCGCGCAGCGGCGCAGCTCCCGCGCCCGTCCCCATCTCCTCCTCCGCTCCTGCGGCGTCGCTCTCGCTCGCGAGGCTCGCGTGCGCCTCCCCGCTCGCCGCCCTCGCGCCTCTGGCGCCCGCACCGCCGTCGGCGAGGGCGACTCTCTCCGCCAGGTGGGTTGCGCCCATGCGTCCCTGGGGAACCGGTGGCCCCTCCAGGCCGACCACACGCGGTGAGTGTGTGATTTTTGACGGTGGGGTGTGTTTCTCGAGCCAGTGGTCGAATGGTTGTAGTCTTGTAGAGGATTTCATCTCCGCCGTGTTCTCGTGTAGTTTAGGGGTGTTGTTTATGGCGAGCTGTTGAGCTTCCTGTATTGCGTTTAGTATCATACTCATTAGATTCCATAGTGTGTATAGCGTTGCTTCTGGGGCTTGTTCTCGAGTGATTGTGTGCAGCTAGTTTTGCAAATTAATTCATTGGTCCTAGCACATTCTAGTAGTTGCATGCTCAGAAAATCGCAGACAATTTGGTACTAGCATTTTTAGTTGTGTAGTTTGACAGGATTTTGCTACTTATCTTATATTGAAGGCTGAAGGCCACCTGGTGGAAATGAATGTTTTGCACTTTCCATCATGTAACGTGGCTACTGGTTGCAGTCATTTGCATTTGGAATGTTACTACTCACAAGGTTGAATTGAGAAACTCAAACAAATCTTTGCTGCTCAGTTCTCTGCACTGCCGCCGCAGCGCCCAAAGAGAGGGGAAAGAATTGCTAGTTCAGCACTTGCTTGTTGGTGAAAAGGATGTCAGGCTTCTGGTTGATCTCGAAAAGAGTATCATTGCAGGAGGTACCATCTGGTTCTCAAACTACCTTTGTATGTACTTTTGGATGACCTTCTAATCTTGTTTGGACCGTGATATTTAACGTGCTCAGCTTACGTACATAATTTGGGTTAATTGGGAACATATGCAATTACAATGGAAATGGCATTATTGAACATTTCAGGAGCAGACTTGAGTGATTTGGCTGTGGAGCACTCCTTATGTCCATCCAAAGAAAATGGTGGTATGCTCGGGTGGGTTCGAAGGGGACAGATGGTACAGCATTAACTTGTTTTTCTAGCATAGTAGTAGACTAAGACAGTATTCTTGTAGCCTTTACATATATTTATTGCCTCCTTTACCTGGGCAGTGTCGGTGAAATCTATTCAGTAAACTAAAAAGAATTATGCTTCAGAGTACATTGCGTTGGGCTACTGTGACATTCAATTGACTTATGTAGTGTAATAAGGATTTACTCTTTCCTTGCAACATGTTAAGAGTTGGCAACCAATTGATAGACAAGAAAATATTATTGTTTTGGTACAGCCACTTCATTCTTCCACATGCCAAAATAGTCTCTACTCTTGACTATCAAAGCATTAGAAATTTAAGGCAACTTGCCCCGGGGGAAAAGTGATATCCAGCACTGGTTCAATAATTTGATCAGTACGCCCAACGCTTTTTTTTCTTCAATTGTGGAAACCCTGGTATGCGAGGTAGTAGGATTGGTTCTCATAATTATCACATAATTTTCAGAGTCTCACCGCAAATTATTTCTTCTTCTTGGAGACATTTGTACTATCTGCTTACTGAAGGCTGTCACCTGCATATGCACCTAAAGCCACTGAATTATCTGTCTAGGTTTTCATCCATTTATATACTTTCATACTGTTTGTCCAGTTGTAGTTTGAACTTTCAAACTTGCATTGGGCAGGTACCAGAATTTGAGGAGGCAGCATTTAGTGCTCCTTTGAACAAAGTTGTACGATGTAAGACAAAATTTGGATGGCATCTATTGCAAGTTCTTGCTGAGAGGTACTAACGTTGAAATACTATGTGTTGGTAATTAGGTGTGCATGAACAGAAACTGATACCTTCCTTACTAAATGCCAGGGATCAATGCGTACTGCAAGACATTGACCCAGAAGAGCTTCACACAAAAATGCAAGACCCTAGTTTTCTCGAAGAGGCCCAATTGATTGATGTTCGGGAGCCTGATGAAGTGTAAGATATTTCACCATTATACTTTCTTTCCCTTTTATTTTGTCTCCACGCAATAATCAAACTAACATGGCATTCATGACAAGTGCCCCCAACTTTGTGTGTGAGACATGTGTGGCCTTTTGTCCTTAGAATGTAAGATCTGCATTTATGAATGAGGATGCAAATACTTTGCTGATATTGCGTTCTGGTAAAAAGATCAGTAACTTTTGCAATGACATTGGTTTTTTGTAAGGTGTAGGTTATGTGTTAACCAGAATGGATAAAGTTGGGACTTGTCCTCATTTGAGAATCGAGAGTAATTGTCCATACATTGTCGTGATCTCACAAATAATGAACTGGATCATAAATGTTAAATTATTAAATAATTGCAGTAACTTTATGTGGTTTCCAAAAGTAAGGCCTTGTTTAGATGCCATCCAAATTCCAAGTTTTTTCACTCTCTCTCCATCACATCAATTTTTAGCCGCTTGCATGGAGTATTAAATGTAGGTAAAAAAAAAAAACTAATTACACAGTTTAGTTGGAAATCACGAGATGAATCTTTTGAGCCTAGTTGGTCCACGATTGGACAATATTTGCCAAATAAGACGAAAGTGGTACTATTCATCAGGTTGCAAAAATTTGCAAAGTGAACAAGGCGTAAATCTATAAGTCATCAGGCTAAAGCTGTTAAAACAAGTAAGCATTAATTGCAGCTTTATCTCATATGGACCAACCGCCTCATACTTGGAAGTTGGAAGATCCTAACTGCACAAATTTTAGAGTGTGCCTCACATACTTGTAGCACACGAATCGGGACATACAGTTATTTCATTCAGCTAGTATATTACTTTTAGTTCTCTTGCATTTTCAGGAATGATATTGTGATGAGGTTCAGTTTCATTCTTTTATTTATTTAATTATTTTCTACTAGATTGATGTTGAATTTCTACTACCTGCATGGCAGGGTGAAAGCTTCACTTCCAGGCTTCAAAGTTCTACCGCTCCGCCAATTTGGGACCTGGGGACCAGTTATGACAGACGAGTTTAATCCTCAAAAGGACACTTATGTTCTGGTAAATTCTTTTCCATGAAACTTGCTGACAGTATTCTCGTGTTGAGTTAATGGTAATGACCTAGTGAATAGGAGTATATAGATTTCCATGCTTGAAGCACAAGTACTGCACCTCTTTAAACTTCGAAAGAAATAAAAAATGGTACTTTCTACTTTCAAGAAAGTTGAGATGGTAAATTGATTATATTAGCAGCGGTGCATAATGCCACTTAATGACCCTTTGTCATCTGTTTTTTTTTTCTTTCTCAGTGCCACCATGGCATGCGCTCAATGCAGGTGGCTAAGTGGTTGCAGTCACAGGTAATTGGTGTACTCACACTCCTGCAAAAGGGTGCTCGTACTCTTTTATTCGATATGTGAATAATATTGTGCTTTTCAATCCTCATTTTCCATCATTTTGCAGGGTTTCAAAAAAGTTTACAATGTCGCGGGTGGAATTCATGCCTATGCGGTTAAAGCCGACTCCTCCATCCCAACGTATTAGAGGATCCTCATTGTGACCGTTAACCATGGCTGGGAACTTCTCACATATCATAGGCAATAGTTTGGTCGTTGATCAATGCCTGAATTCAGAGCTCAATTTTCTTTCTCATACTGTGTATCAGAAGTTTTGGGATCCCTACGGAGGAAATGTATACAGCTATTTTTGTAAAAAAAAAAAGATACAAGAGAATTTGCTTTATTGAATGAACCGTTTCATCAGGAAATTTCTGTTGCGACATTCTGAGATTCTGTATGTTCTTAACTTGTCAGTTGTCACCGAGGACTGCAAATTGAAGTACTCTCTCCCTCCCTCCCTTTGTTGGGCTAGGCGAATGACTTCACAATGACAGGGGTCAAGGCTGGCTTGAGCACCATGTCGGGTCGAGACGACGGATTAGAGGGGGTGAATAGTTCTTTTTAGAACTAATTGTGCCGGTTAACCGAAACAAATACAAAAAATAAATTAATCGGTCTAACCAAAACTACACCCCTTTATCTATATTCACTATCACCTTACAAAGATCCTAACTAAGTAACTAAAGTGCCGAACTAGTGGGAGCTCACCTGCACAATTCTAGTTAGCAAGGTCAAAACCTATGCAACTAGTCATCAAGCACACAAGGAGTTCCTACACATACTAGTGAGCAAAGCGCACAAAGCCTAAGCAACACTAGCACACTAGCACTACTCACTAGCAATGCTACACAAGCTAAACTAGAGAGCTCGACTACTTAGCTACACAAGCTAAGCAACGCTACTTAGCTACACAAGATAGCTAGCACAAGAGCAACCACACCAGCACAATATATGAACAAGTAAACAAGCTTGTGTTAGGGAATTACAAACCAACGGGAAGATGATGACATAGTGATTTTTATCCCGAAATTCTGTGGTTTGCCAACCACTTAATCTCCGTTAAGGCAAGCCCAAGGTTACCGCCGATCCTCTTGCTAGTGGTGAGCCCACAAGCTCACTATCTCCACCAAAGGGAGTGCTCACCCAAGAGCTCTAGCACTTCGATCTAGTCGGACCACTTGGCGCTCTTCACACCTAACTCTACTAGAGTTACTGTTCGCGTCTATCGTGGGACAAGCACAACACCCCTCACAAAAAGCCTTCTCTGGAGCCACGCACAACCTTCATGCGGGCTTCACAACGGAGACCACAACCACCAAGCCGTCTAGGTGGCAACCTCCAAGAGTAACAAGCACCACCACCTTGCAACTCAATCACCTAGTGCCACACCTTGCAATCTCTCAATGCAATGCAATGCATTAACAAACACTCACTTGCAATCGGATGCAATCACTACTTGCACAAGTGAGTTAGAGGGCTCTCTAGCATTCCCCAAACTTGGACACTAAGTCCAGAGGTTGTTAAGCAACAACCAAGGCCCCAATGCTCAACTAGCTGTTAGCCTCTTGAAAGCCCTAGTTTGATTTTGGATAAGAAACCTATGCACTAACCTTTGTCATGAGTTGTGATATGAGCTAGGTTGGTGTAATCCAAGTTGTGAAGTATGGTGGCACTCAAATGGTGATGTTGATCACATGAAATGATGAGATGACCACATGTGATGATGATCAAGTGCTCAACTTGAAAAAGAAGAAAGAGAAAAACAAAACCCTATGGAGATCAAGGCAAAGGTATAATTAGGGATTTTATTTTAGTGATCAAGACACTATAGAGAGTGTGATCATATTTAGGGTAGATAACCGTACTATTAAGAGAGGTTCTTAACTAGACAATTCAGTCACCTAGTGCCACTAGGTGTTGGACTTCATGCATTGCATTTAGGCCTAGTGCACATCGGAGAGCAAGCGAAAATATTTATGAAAAATGTTTTGAGAAATGCTAACTTGACTCTAATATGTTTTGAGAAAACACTTTGAGAGTTAGCATCGCTTGTGGGGAGTAGCTCGAGTTGATGTGGATCGAATCGCACAAAAGTTTACAACTCGGTGAGCTAGTGGAGGTGCCTGGGTGGCAGTGCCACCCCCTGTCCGATGGCAGCGCCACCCCTAGGGCGGTGCCCACCTGGGCTCGGCAGAGAAGGGCTGAGAGTGGCCGGTTTGGGGTGGTCACCGGACACGCCGGTGTACACCGCCTTGGGTGCGGTGGTGCACCGCCTGGTCACCGCCACTGGGTGTCTAGTGCCACCACTGTTTTCCTCCAAAGATGGGCACAGCGAGGGAGGTCACTACCATGGTGATGGCGGTGCACCGCCCTATTTTTCTAGAGGATCGATTTCGGTGACTTGGCTGGGATGGTCACCGCCACCCCTATGGTGGTGCCACCGCCATACCATGTCCGGTGACCAAGTTGGGAAGTGACCGTTGGGGCACCGCCACCCTAGGGGCGGTGTGCCACCGCCGTGTCCGGTGCCCCGCGCAGACAGCTCCAAGGGGTACAACGGCTCTATTTGCTTGTGTGGCTATAAATAGAGGGTGTGGCCAGCCTTAGCCACTCTCTTGGCACCTCATACACTTGTGCACACCCTTTGGAAGCTGAGCAACACACTCCACTCACTTGTTCACTTGATTTCATTATCTTGAGTGAGATTGGAGAGCCTCTAGTGCATTGCATTGAGTTGTATCATCTTATGGCACTAGTTGGGTGATTTGGGCTGGTTGTGAGCTTGTTACTCTTGGTGTTTGCCAACACCTAGACGGCCTAGTGAAAGCTCTAGTTTGGTTTTGGTAAATTGATGAAACCCTAAGTGCTAACCTAGTTTATCAAAGTGATCATGAGATAGGTAGCACATTCCAAATAATGGAGCAAGTGGTGAAGATCATGATGATGGTGTGACCATGGTGATGATCAAGTGCTCGGCTTGGAAAAGAAGAAAGAGAAAAACAAAAAGCTCAAGGCAAAGGTGAAACTTGATAGGAGCTTTTTGGTTTAGTGATCGAGACACTTAGCAAGTGTGATCACATTTAGGATCGATAGTCATACTATTAAGAGGGGTGAAACTTGTATCAAAATATGGTTATCAAAGTGCCACTAGATACTCTAACTCATTGCATATGCATTTAGATTCTAGTGAGTGTTAACACCCTTGATTTTTTGTGTGAAAATATGCTAACACACGTGCACAAGGTGATACACTTGGTGGTTAGCACACATGATCAAGGGTGGCAAAGTTGGAGTTGAGAAGGGGCTGTCTCGAGGTGACCGGACGTTGTTCTAGCAGCGACCGGACTCAGCAGCCGTGTCCAGTCAGTGGCGCGTAGTGAAGGCCACCCTCGGTCCTTTGACCGGACGCTAAACAGTGAAAGTGACCGAACGCGTAGGGCCTGCGTCTGGTCAGGCTATGATGTACGCTGATGCAAGCGTTTGTGAGAAGCAAAGGAGGACCAGACTCTGGTGTGCGTCCAATCGAGGGCGAGCGGACGCATCTGGTCATGTTTTTGTGACTCTAGATGTTCTCTAGAAGTGACCGAACTCTGTGATGATGGAGCGTCCAGTCATTCCATCGGCGTGTTCGGTCGTTAGGTGATGGCACGGGCGTGAGCAAGCAGGGTGAAAGCTCTAGTTTGGTTTTGGTGAATTAATGAAACCTTAAGTGCTAACCTAGTTTATCAAGTGATCATGAGATAGGTAGCACACTCCAAGTAGTGAAGCAAATAAAGATCATAGCATGATGATGATGATGCCATGGCGATAATCAAGTGCTTGGACTTGGAAATAAGAAAGAGAAAAACAAAAAGCTCAAGGCAAAGGTATAATTTGTAGGAGCTATATTTGTTTTGGTGATCAAGACACTTAGAGAGTGTGATGACATTTAAGTTTGATAGCCGCACTATTAAGAGGGGTGAAGCTCGTATCGGAATGCGGTTATCAAAGTGCCACTAGATGCTCTAACTCATTGCATATGCATTTAGGATCTAGTGAAATGCTAACACCCTTGATAATGTTTGTGAAAATATGCTAACACATGTGCACGAGGTGATACACTTGGTGATTGGTACATTTGAGCAAGGGTGAAGAAGTTAGAGGTGAAGAGGAGTTAGTCTTGCTGGTCGTTGAGTGACTGGACGCTGGTCTCAGAGGGACCGGCGTGTTCGGTCAAGTGTGACAGCATAGACGCCAGCGTCAGTCATCGATCGGATGCTGGGTCTTGGATTGACCGGACGCCGAGGTCTAGTGTCCGGTCGCGTTGACCAACAACGCAGAATGTAATCAACAAGTGACAGGACGTTGGCTGTGTCCGGTCAAGCATGACCGGACGCGTCCGGTTGTGAAATATCGTTTCTGGAACCTTACTGGAAACGACCGGACGCTGGAGGCTCAGCGTCCGGTCAGTTTGTGCGCTGTGTCCGGTCAACAGACAACCATTGAAATTTGATGAACAGCATTTGAAGCAGGGGACACGTGGCGTGTATCACGTGACCGAACGCTGAGGACCAGCGTCCGGTCGATCCGACCGGAGCGTCCGGTCACCCCACGTTGTACCCAGTGAAGGGGTACAACGGCTCTATTTTGTGGGGGCTTCTATTTAAGTCCCATGGTCGGCTCAAGCTCACTCTCTTGGCCATTTGCATTGACATAGCAACCTTGTGAGCTTAGCCAAAGTCCTCCCACTTATCTCCATCATTGATTCATCATCTTTGTGACATTGGGAGAGAATCCAAGTGCATTGCTTGAGTGTTTGCATCTAGAGGCACTTGGTGATCGTGTTTCGCTGCGGATTTCGCTTGTTACTCTTGGTGGTTGCTGCCACCTAGACGGCTTGGAGCAGCGAGGATCGTTAAGCGGAGGGTGGTGATTATCTCCGGCTCCGATCATGGTGATTGTGAGGGGTTCTTGACCTTTCCCCAGCGGAGAGCCAAAAGATACTCTAGTGAATTGCTCGTGGCTTGTGTGATCCTCATCTTGTGTTGGTTGTGCGGTACCCTATTGAGGGTTTGGCGTATGATGCCAATTAGCTCGTGAACCTCCAAGTGAGTGAATCGCCACAACGAGGAGTAGCTTGCCGGCAAGCAAGTGAACCTCGGTAAA